CTCCAGGAATTTGCAATAAATTAGCATTTAAGACAGTGCAAGATCCGGTCTCCTTATTTCTAGCATCATGTTTTGGCACTTTAAAACCTAAACCAGATTCCCAGTACCAAACAAAACCTACCGTCTAGAGTCCTGGACAAATTCTCCACCCTTGAAGGCCAGTTTAAGAGTATGTCTTCTACGATGTTTTTCTTAGCGGTCACTGCCTTCCTGCCTCTGAACCACACAGTCCAGCAGTTACTTGTTGATCTGAATGATCTGTGACACGTGAAGATTTTTCCCTTGGAAGAGCCAGTCTTATTTGTGTTAGTCTGTATCGGAAAAGCCAGAGCATATCTGCCCAAGCTAAGTGTCGGGGCGGATGGTAATCCAGGAAAGTTCTGAGGACGCTCCCTCGAGCCGCTCACGGGGTGACATGGTTTGCAGGGACTTTCCTTGACTCAGAGCCAAACATTAAATCTCAAGGGCTCAGGAGCTTTTCTTTCCCCACACAGGAAATGTTGATTGCCTACACTAGGCACTGACTTCTCAGCTGATCCACTCTCAGCAGCAGACTGACTGACCTGGAAGTAGTATCGTGACTGCTGGACATTGGGGAGGGTATGAGTGGGAGCAGGGTGGAAAAGGTAAGTTGGGCTTGACCAACCTACGCTACATGTACATGTAGAAATACTGCACTGAAACCCATTAATACGTACAGTTAATGCACTTTTGTTTATTTGGTTCCAGGAATCGAATTTGGGACCTTACACTTGCCAAGCAATACACATTAATTTTTTTGAAAAAGCAAACTCAAAAGTAACTAAGCATATTACTAAGTAACCAAATCCACTTTCTTTTCTTTTATTTTTCAGTGTTTAAGGATCAAACCCAGGGCCTCAAGCATGCTAGATTAGCCCTCTCCCACTTAGCTACACGTGCACCAGGCCGATTTGTAAGAGCCCGACCTGCTGAGGGGCAGGAGCCCGGCTCTCGGCCCTGGCCCGGGGCGGTCTCCTCCGCCCCGCGGGGATCCAGCGTCATCGGGGGTGCTTGGTGCGTCAGTGCACTGCATGATTCCTCACGGTGGGCTACGGTCGGCGTCATGCGCCTTTCACCCCGCTTCTTGAGGCCACAACCCAGTGCGCAGCGCGAGCCGCCCCGCCCTCGGGCGTGCGGGTGCCGCGGCGGTAGTCCTGCGCCTGTCTGTCCGTCTCCGCTACTTCCCGGCCCGCGTGGCAGATGGCTGACACAGCAAGGCGCTAGTCTGAGGGCGACGTGGCCGGTTTGTGCAGATTCAGGCTACGTGTTCGACTCTCCAGGTTCCCTTTTAGGACGCTGGGGGTGGCTCTCCCGCGCGCCCAAGCCGGCGGCTGCAGTGTGCCCGGCTGCTGCGGGGCCCTGCCGCCTTGCAGAGAACGGGCACGGCTCCTCGCTACCGTGCGCCCCTGAATGTGGGGGTCAGAGAAAGGCGAGCGTCGCACCGGGAAGACACTTCCACCCGAACCTTTGGACGCGGCAGGAGCTCGCTAGGTCGCCAGGCCACCCCCCACAGCTCGAGCGGGAAAAGGGGCGCTCCGACAGTGCGCCGCGGCTGTCTCTCTGGGCGCTTGCGTCCCGCGCCAGGGCACAGGGCAGCGGGCACCCGCGCCGGCCCCCGGGGAAGAAGCACCGCGTTCAGGCCTGCGAAGGCGCGGCCGGACGTGAGGGGCCAGCCCGCCCCAGGCCGCCAGGGCCGCCGAGGCCCTCCGCCCGGACCGAAGGGCGGTTTTCGTGTCTTCTTCCCGAGACAGCTCGTCCTGTCTCCAGCCGACTGCTTGGGAGGGAAAAGAAAGGAAGGGAAAGAAGGAGAGAGGGAAGGAGGCTCCTTGCGGGATTTCACGGACTCCCCGCCCCGCACAGCCGGCCGCGCAGCCCTCGCACCCGCAGCTCCGCCTGCCAGGCGGCAGGAAGCAATCAGCAGACCCGCGAGGCCCCGCTCACGGGCGGGCGCCCCTGCTGCGAGCCCGGGGGGTGTCCCCGTGCAGGCGGCCGCACACCTGCAGTGCGGTCCCCAGCCGCGGCCGGCCTCGACGGTGCGTCCAGGTTGCTAAGTCCACCGCGCAGCTCGGAGACCAGCTCAGAGAGCGCTGGATGTCGGACACTTCTCGGCGGTCTGCAGTGTGTGTGTTTTCTCTTGCTGTGCTTTTGAAACTGGAGTCCTGCTGTGTTGCCCGGGCGCCGCTAGAACTCATGGCTCAGGGGATCTTCCCACCTCAGCCTCCTGAGTAGCCGAGACGGCAGGTGCGCGCCACTATGCCCCGCTGGCAGTACGTGTGCGAGAGGCTTAAACTTACGCCCCAGACCTCCACTCTGCCCCCAGTTTGGGGGATGTGGATGACTGGCGTGTTCGCGATCCTATGTAAATGCTACACGAATTCAAAAAACTTGAGGTTCTCTTCAAATTAAATTGCTATCTCTAAGCCCTTCTTGTACTGAGATCGGAGGGGTGTCACTACGCTCAGCCTTGCGACTGGGACTTGCTTTACTCTGTCCTTGCTGATGTCCCTGAGCCTGAGCCCTGACTGCTTTCCACCCGCTGCCCGCCCGGCTACAGGGGCCGTGGCTTCTCATGCCCAAGGGCTGCCTGCTGCTGTGGCCTAGCTGTCGCTGGGGTGCCCTGTGTCCTGAGACCCAGGGATGGCTGTCTGTACTTCCGGACCAAGCCCGCTGGGGGGTGGAGACGGGGACCGAGGGAGGGACAAGCATTTGGTACCCTTTGAGCTCACAGTCTTCAAATTCTGTACAACTCTTGGTGGGCCAGGAACAAGATGGGGGCAGATTCATTCTCATGTTTGCTTCAGAGCTTTGTCTTTTTCGTGGAAAGGGACCAGTTTAAATTTTGACCACCTATAACAGGTCCTGTGTACTGATCTGAGTGAAACTGGGCCTCACTTTCAGATACAGTTCAGGAAGATTCTAGCGTTTCTTGTAGACTGAAGCTCCTGGGAGCCTATCGGGGACTGGAGCTCCCCGAGTGCCCCTCAGCGGACCTCCCCTTCCTGGGCTGTGCGCAGTCCGTGGTGCCAGCCCGGGTGTGTGGCTCTGGCTTGTGTAAAACACCTTGCCAAGCCGCTCACTGTGAGATGCCACTGGTGTCTCAGAAGAACGTAGCTCTTAGAAATGCGGAAACATTTAGACATCTCTCTTCCTCTGAGGAGTGGGAAAGTCGCTAGTGCCGACTTCTGCAGGGTTCTCTGCGGTCCAGAGTAAGACGACCCTCCAATGAGCTCTCCAGCTCATCCCTCAGGACAAGTTCCAACTCTCATAAATTCTGCTCTAAAGACAATTTGAGGAAGAAAGGGTCATTTTTTGTTTCATTTCAAGAAAACTGATTTTGACATTTCCATACTTCTGGGCAGATTCTGCTGGAAAACTGGCTGCGCAGATGAACGTCTCAGCAATGCGGCATGGACTTGAGAAAACGAATGCGATGACGGAGGTCCTCGAGGGAGCCTGTTTCCTGATTGTCTTCAGCTTTTGAAAGGCCACAGCTGTGGCGGTTTCCAGTGGGTCCGACAGGCTCTCAGTGTGGCTCTCTGAGCTTGGACTTCCTCACACTGAACAAGAGGGTGGGAGCCAGACTTGTCCCTGCGCTTAGCTGCGTAGGACTCTCCTGCAGGACACTGCGTGGAAGAAGGGAGGCCCTGGGCTCAGGATGCCAGTGTTCGTGGCTTGGTCCTTCCGCAGAATGCTATCCTCGGGGAGGGAGGTATTGCATTTGATTACAGGCGGACACTCACCCTTTTCCTCTGCAGGAGACTGTGTGCTCTTTGAGAGCAGTGAGTACTTCTAAAACAACAGTCTGTAACAGACAATTATCCTGTCAATATTTGTTTGCCTGTTCTGTTCTACACACATCAGTAAATTATTTCAACTCGTAGCAGCCCAAACAGAAGAGCGTGAAGTAGTCCTACTTTATAGGCCAAGGCTGAGGCTCAAATTCTAAAGTTGTTTACCTCAAGCCACGCGGATTTTATGTGGATAGTCACCTCAGCAACGCACACTACGACCCAGAAGATTACCCCCAAAGCTCCTGGTTCCAGGCCTCAAGGTCTCCAGACCGAGGCTGCTCCCCCTCTGACCCCGAGCAGCGCTTGGCAGACGTTCAGATCTGGTCACTGCCTGGCGTCGCTTTTCCGTCACAGGTGGACTAGAGGCGTTTCACCCGCTGCTTCCTAACTTCTTCGATCATCAAACCACATTCCTTTCATGCTGCTGCTTCTGAGCCCCAGAGACCCCTCCCACAAGTCTGTCTCTTTCCCAAGAAGTATGAAGTTATCAAGAAAGGACATTTAGTTATTCTTTATCTTTTATTTTATAAGTTTCTTGTTTGGAGCACTTTAAATAGATTTTGGATAAAAATAATACAGCTCTCTGAGAACTATGGCAATTCCAGCCTCTGTGGGAAAGTGTGACTTGGCCTCTTGTCAAGGACTTTTACGGGATCGGAGGGTTGCCAACGTGGGAGGGGGTGCCCGCCATTGCTCTGCTGCAGGTAAAACCGGCGCAGGTGGGAATGAAGCACGACCTTGTTGTTCCAGACCACCAGGGACAGTGTGCTGTGCTCTTACCAGGGATCTTGTCTCGGGTCCTGGACAGCAAGGGGTGTGGAAGCTAGGAGTTGTGGGTACCAGTGGGCAGAGGTAGCAGCCCCAGTTACATGGCTTTTTACATGAATTCAGAAGGTTTCAAATGCTTCGGCTTTGTGCGCGGCTACAGCCCAGGGTGCGGTGTGGAAAAATCACCATGGCGCAGCAACTAGGGTTTTAGAGGCAGAACGAGACGCATGAGGCGGCTGAGGGGAGTCCTGGTAGAGCTGGAAGTGAAAGTTGTGGCTGAGCCCAAGGGGCTGGGGGTGCACGAAGTCTAGAGTCCTCCAGGAAGATCCATTCGGGAATTCGCCACCTGCTTAGTGAGCCCAGCACTTGTCACTGTTGAATCCATCAAAATTCCGTTAATCTGGTCCGATGGACTCACCTGCATGCTTCACCAGAGAAAGCTCCGTTTCCAGCGACGCGTGGGAAGCCCAGAAGAGGATGCAGAGCCAGGAAGTTTGGTTTATGTCTGGAGCAAATACAAAAGGGAAGGTCCGTGTTGGAGCCACCTGGGCAAATCTGTGAAGAAACAAATTACTTTTGGTCAAGGGACTGCTAAATTAAACACAGCACAGCACATGCAGCATGCGCATGCGCAGCCGGATCTCATCGCTACCACACTTCCGGCCACAGGCAAATTAGTTTTTACAAGTGGTTCAAAAACAAGTGTCACTACAGACAATGTGTAGCAATCCTTACCTTCTTTCTAGGTGAGATTTGTTGCAGTTCCGCTGTTGATAGCAGGCGGGGTTTCTGTGAGCTCCTTTCCAGCATCTGGTTTTATTTCTGTGCATGGTGTGGGCTCTTTAGCCGTGGACTCGCATTAAACTCTTTGGAATGTCAGGTGTGCTGCTGGAGACCGGACCTGAGCCATTCCCAGCTCCGGAGTTAGGGGTCATCATTGCTGCTGTCGAGGACGGGAGACCCAGGCTTGGCAGGGTCAGTGACTCGCTCTGAGCACCACACGGCGGGTTAGAGCTGCAATCTAAACGTAGGGCTTTCGCACCTGCAGGTCCTCCGTGGCGTGGCGTGGCTCGGTCGGTTCTCTGTGGCGGCTGCTGGACTGCCGAAGACACACTGATGGGCTTTTGCTTGCAAGTCTGATGAGGGGAAGCAAGAGTGTCGAATTAGATTCTGGCTTCCTTTTATTTTCACTGCTCTTAGTTTTTCATTTTCAAGATGTATTTATCTACCTATCTGTGTCTTATTGATCTATGATCTATCATTTATCTCTTCATCCGTTCTTCTATCTTTTCACACATTTATTTACATTGTAAACTGCCTGACATTTTTTGACAAGATATTTAGGGCAAGTAGTAGCAAATGGGAAGGAATACGTAAAGAAATGACTACCTACCTGATAATTGCTAAGGTTTTCTAGAGTTGTAAATTGAGCACAGTCTCATTTCACAGGTAAGCCCTCCTTACCTTCTTCTTCCTCCCCTCCTCTTTTTTCTTCTTTTTGAGTTGTGAAAGACTAAAGCCACTACCACGCTCTTTTGGCTACGTGCAAATTGTTTTGTTTTTTAATTGATGGAGTCAAACCCACATGCTGCTGAAGGAACGTTCGGGAGCTTTTCCCATTCTTCATTCTGGTATCACTGAAGCTCAGCTGGCTTTGGTTATGAGAAGCCCACAGTTTTGTAACAGACACGGTGGCAAATGAAATGCAGTATGACAGTCTTGTGAACGATGTAATTTTATCTCATTATCGAGAAAGAAAAATGGCTATCTTAGCCACTGTCGGACATTTCCTGTAACCACGCACACTCTCTGAGCCTGGGAGGCAAATTTAAATCTTTCAAGTTGGAGGGCTAGCCCCACCTCCTGCCTGGGCAATAAAATGTGGGGAGCTGGAGCTGGATACTGGTCATATGTGTGAGGGTGGGACAGAGCCAGAGGGCCTCAGGCAGTCCAGCTACTTCAGTATTGAAAAAAGCATCCCACCTGGACAGTTACAGTCGTTAGTTGCTAGGCAACATCACCTGTCCTGATACTAACTTTGCAAGAGTATAAATAAATCCTCCTACTGTTGAAGTCAGTCCTCTTGCCAATCAGGTAAGAGATATTGCCACCTGACCCTGGCTATTGTCTCTTGTCTTTATTTTCTAAATCTTCTCACCATTTTTTCCCCAGGATCACCAAAGGATCACCAAGTCCCACGATAAAACAGTTATGTCTAGCAGTTTGGGAAGCTTGAAGGTTTAGCTCACCAGCAGACTGAGTCTGAATGGTGCTTTTTGGTACTTTAGCAGCAGATCTATAGAATGAACTTAACTGGTATGGTAGGGGGCTTTTTATTATAAATTTTAATTATTTTTCTATCAGAGAAAATATAATGACCTCATCAAATATATTATTTTAGGGACACAATTTTGTAGTGTAGATTCAAGATTTATAAAAATGACTGGAGTTTTGAGACATTATCAGTTAAGTAATCATCCTGGAGGCAGCACACAGGGAAAAATTTACAAAGGTCATAGGCTAAAAGCTAAAGTCTTACAATCACTGAGGGAGGGCATACTTCATAGAGAAATATGGGATGAAGTGTGCAAGCTGATGGGTACCTAGAAGATTTTCAGCAATTGAGACTGATTCACTGGAAGATCTTAGTGCCTTTCTGACCTTCTTCACCTTCTGAAATTTTGCTAAATGTCACCTTCATGCTCTATTGAATAATGGTCACTTTGATTTGTGTTGCTACTGTACTGTTGATGAATATTCTGTTTACCAGCTTTCCTAGATTGCAGGAAACTCTCTCTGCACCTCTTGGGTCAGGATTTTTCATTTAGAAAACCACATTCAACATTTTGCTTGTATACCTATGAACAGAATTTTGAACATTCCTGTCATCAACTTAAATAGTTACCATGGGGTAGTTGCTAGTATTTTACATATATGTATTGATGCTTAAAATGAAATTGATACCCTAGTTATTTTATGAATCCAATACAACAGAATCCAATGGAATTATGACCCATCTATCTATCTATCTATCTATCTATCTATCTATCTATCTATCTACCTATCTATCTTTTTGAGACAGGGTCTCACTATGCAGTTCAGGCTGGCCTTGAGCTCAGTTTGTGGCCCAGGCTGGCTTCAAACTCACAGTGGTCCTCCTGCCTCAGCCTCCTAAGTGCTGGGATTACAGGCATGTGCTACCATGCCTGGCTATGACCCATTTAAAAATGCATTGTACAGGTTCTTCTGTACCAGTCGAAAAATGTGTATCTGTCCTTTTCCTCTTCAAACTTGTATCTCCTTTCTTTCTCTTTGAATTTTATCTTAATGTTGATACTTTTGGGCTTGAAAGTTTTTTATTGATCATCTTACTACTTCCCTGCCATGTAGGTATATGTTGTTCTTATGAACAAAAACCTCCAAGTATTAAAAAAGAACTTTTATATCAAATCATAACTGTTATTGCAATTAAATAAAACTAATGCACACTGTTTGATAAATTTAAAAGTTTAATACAAACAAAAGCAATTATTCTTTAGGGATATAACTTTGTTTGGTTTTTTTTTTTGTTTTTTTTTACGGTACGGGGAATTGAACTCACGACCTTGCGCTTGCCAGGCAGGGGCTCTGCAGCTGAGCTAAATCCCCAGCCCCAGGAATATAAATTTAATGAGTTGACTTGGATGCTATTTGTGGTGCCTTGATTAAAACAGTTGTCTAACTGTCTACATTAACACCATGTTTTCCATACCATAGTAAGGTTCCCGGTAAACGAAGGTCAGCCTTTGTTTAGAAATAGGGAGGGAAATGGTTGTGAAAGGGAAGCTGAGACAGGGTGACTCGGCCACAGGGCCTGCTATGGCGAATCAGTTTTAGAAGAGGGGAAACTGAGATACGGAAGTTGTCTCTCCTGGACCCACCCATGGCTCATAGGCCTTAGGACTGAGGACAGCCGGCAGAGAAGTTGTCAACAGCCCCAGACAAGGTGAGTGTCATGGATGTGCTGTCTGAGCACCTGCTTTGAGCTCCCATACATGGAGGGATCCTACCTATGGGTTCATGTCCTGCTGTTGCCATCCTAATAATTTTCGAATAAGGGACTTTTATTTTATTTAAATTTGGGCCACCAATTACAAAACTGGTATTGATCATGAGTGTTTGTAGGGCTAGACCTTGGCAGGAGAAGTAAGATGCAGTTCCAGAGCCACTTGGAGGAGCTGGTAGCACCATTTTGTGCAAGACAACTTCCTAAATGTTTGGAAATGTTGAGCACCAGGTAAACCTTTGATAGTTTGAAAGCAGCCACAACAGGAAGTGTTTGTACTATAGTAGTCTTCAAATGCTACAAGTCAGGATGTTTTTGTGATCATCACACACTGTTCATTAACCACCCCCACCAAAAGGTAAAATAATGTAAGTGCAATAATAATATGTCATGCTTCATTATTCACGGCTAGAACAATGAGATTAAGAAGAATAATTACAACATCTTAAATTTCTCAGGCACAGTGCTAAATGCATTACAAAGACTATCTCCACTAAACCTTAAAGCATTTTAGAAGGTATGTTATGGCCCGGATGTTTGTGCCCACCTTGCCAAAATCCATGTGTTAGAACCCTGACCCCGAGGTGATGGCCTTAGGATGTGGGAGCTTTTGAAAGGGGACTGGGTCAGGAGAGCAGGTCCGTATGAGTGTGATTATCGTGCTTATGAAAGAGGCCCTGCTTCTTTCACCAACGGAGGATGAGAGAGATGCTACCGTCTGCGAAACAGGACCAAGTCTCACCAGACAACACCTCTGTAGGCACCTCGATCTTGAGCTTCCCAGGCTCCAGAATAAACTTCTATTGTTTTGAAGGCTACCTAGTTTGGGGTGTTTTGGCGCCTGACTATCCCCATTCTACTGAAAATGGAAAAACTTATGGATGGAGAGGATGACAAACTTGCCCCCAGGCAGCCAACTAGCACGGAGGGAAGCAAGCTGGGACTTAAATCCGGAGCCTGTGTTTCTGACTGTCCTCGTTAAAAGCTATTTTCCACGTCTCCATCCCTAACCCCAGTGAGGCTATTTGCAGTGACCTGTTTTCTACCAGACAACCTCTCGGGCCTTCCGTTCTTCAGCTTTACACCACAAAAGCTTCAAGTCTGTTAAATTTCATAGTTGTCCTTCAGGATTGTATTTCTGACCCAACATATCCAGCAGGTATCACAAATCCCAGCGGAAGCATTTTTATTCAGATTCATTTGTGGTGTCTGGGTTCTTAGTGTACTGTTTGATGTAAGTGAAAATGTTTGTTTTCAGTTTGACTTTTCCATGCCCAAATAACCCAAACAATGTCAAACAACATAGTCATTAAAACACTCATTAATTTTTCTGACTGTAAAAGTATGAGAAAGTGTGTACCCTGCAGTTGGATAGACCCATGTTCAATTTCTTGTTCAGCCACGTATTTTGGACATGTTACCAACTTGTGAAATGAGTATGGTAGGAGCTGCTACCTCATAGGGTTGTTGCGAGAGTTAGTTAAGATAGTACATACGTTCTTCTGCCCGAGCTGTGCTCTGCCTGGACGCCTACACTCTCACTCTTCTCCTGAGTAGTGCCTGTTGCCCTTGCTAGACATTGCTGATGATTGCGCAAAATCACCCTCTTCCTCCGCCACCTCCCACTCTAGAGGCTGAATTATATAATGCTCATACACCCAGCTTTTCTAGTGGCTAAGGGCAGTCATGTGATGTCGTGGTCTGCAGCTTATAATAGTAAATTCACGGGGGTTGCTTATGGAAAGTTTTTTTTTTAACTTGATGAAATAAAACAGACGTAGTAGCTGACTCAGCGTATCTTTTTTCCTCCTCGGTGTGATGCCTGGAGCTTCAGCAGCCTTTCCCAACCCTGCGGCAATAAACATGGAAGAAAGTCCAAGGGACTCACCAGACATTAGCCTGACACATCGCCAGCCTTGTGGCAGCTGTATACCCCAGGCCTCTTACTATTGTTAAAGTTGGTGTAAGTTAGAGTTTGTTACTTGCAGCTGAAAGCACCCCTACGTGGTAGATTATTTTTCACTTATCTTCTTAGATAGCATTTTCTCCACGGTATCTTACTAGGCTCCAAGATGGATTTAGTGTTCTCTCCTCTGAGTGCGTATAGCAGGCTGTGCTTATTTCTACCATAGCACGCAACTGTTTGTCTCAAAAATTCTTAAAGAGCATTGTGTTGATATACACTTGAATCTTACTGAGCATTTATAATGTAGGTGTATTACAACAGTTATCATAAAAACTCATATATGCTTTTATCGACATATTCTCTAAAAATAGATAAATTAACAGTGAGAGCTGGGCACGTTTGTTTCTCTAGCTCCCTCCCCAGCTCTGCTCTCCTTCCTTGCTGGTAAGGAACTGCTTTCTGAATGGGACGTCATAACTCCCATGAACCCTTGGGTGGCAAGATCCACCTTCCCTGCTGTTGGCAAACATCATTGTATTCAGTAGCTGCACTGACCCCAGATTTCCTCATATACTGTTTAACTCTTGGCTCAAAGCTTTGATCAAGCGTAAGTCTGCGAGTTCATCAGCCACATTTATCTTGCTTCTGAAAAACCTCAACTGTTTTCTGTCTCACTCCTAATTTGAATATTTAAATTACCATGCTTGCCTTTTCTTTTGATTCCTACTGCAGCATCTAGTAAAGTGTGCATGCATGCAGTGTATTGGATTTCATGGTATTGGGGAGCTGGAGATTTATTTATTAAAGCCATTGTAACATGGACTAAGAGATCTTAAGAGAGAAAACACAAAATGCCCTCTCGTTTAAAGCCTTATTTTGTTTTGTTTGGTCTGTTGTAAGCAACACACAGAGGCGTAAGAAGCGAAATCAGAGCAATCCTGACAATTCTAAGAGCCACCGTGACGTGCCAAATCGTTTCCCAGAGCAGGCTTTGCCAAGTGAGGTGTTGCCGTCAGGTGTTTCCTTACAGCTCTGCCTTGGATGCAAAGAGCTACCCAAAGAGGATTATTTCAC